GGTTCAAGCGATTCTCCCATCTCAGCCTCCTGAGCAGCTGGGATTACAGGCATGAACCACCATCCTCTGCAAAATTTGTTTTGTTTTGTTTTTTTGAGAAGGAGTCTCACTGTGTCACCCAGGCTAGAGTACAGTGGTTCGATCTTGGCTCACTGCAACCTCCGCCTCCTGGGTTCAAGCAATTCTCCTGTCTCAGCTTCCTAAGTAACTGGGATTACAGGTGCTCAACACCGTGCCTGACTAATTTTTGTATTTTTAGTAGAGACAGGGTTTCAACATGTTGGCCAGGCTGGTCTTGAACTCCTGACCTGAAGTAATCCACCTGTCTCGGCCTCCAAAAGCGATGGGATTTCAGGTGTGAGCCACTGCACTCGGCCCTTTATATAAATTTTAAATTCACCCTGTCAATTGTCGCAGAAAATGGTAGTTTAATTGATAATACAGTGGATATCTAGACAAATTAAGGGAAAACGAATATTTTTCTTATATTTGGTATTCTAATCCACACACATAGAATATCCTTCTAATTATTTTAATCTTCTTTGAGGTCTTTCAGTTCCTATTTGATAGTTTTGTACACAGAAGACCAGCATGGATGTTATTAGATTTATTCACGGTTATTTGACTTCGGCATTGCTGATACAAATTTTTTAAATTTCATTTTAAAATTCTTTGAGGCTAGTTTTTAGAAGCACAATTGATTTTTGCTAAACTTTTCATTCTGCTTGTTTATCTTTAGAATCTCTTGAATTTTCTACATCCTCAATCGTATCTTTGGAAAATAACAATCTTGTGTCTGCCTTTCCAATCTTTTTATGGTTCCGTTTTCTTTCCTACTGCACTGGACAGTGACATGCAATATGCTGTTGACCAGAGTGGTGATGACAAGCATCCTTATTGGTTCTCAGTCTCTGAGGATGGTTTTCCATTTTCCCTGTTAATTATGTCATAGCTTCAGTACCCACAGCTTCCAAAGACCCCTTTCTATATTCTGTTGTTTCTGTTGGTCCTTATACCTGTTGTCTTTTATTCCCATGAACCTGGTTATCATTGATTGCGTTCTAACATTTCATTTGGAAAAAATAAAACACTTTGCAGAAATAATGACCTGGGATGATGCCATTCTCCTTCACAGAAGATTTTTGTTTCCTTTAGCTAGGAGCCTGGGGGCACAAGCAATAATTCCAGGAGTTGAGGTTCCTTTCCTGGAGACATTTAGATGTCTCAAAATCAGTTTTCAGCCCTTGTGAAGGTTGGTTATTGCTTCACATGGACTGTTGCTAGGGTACAGCCCCTCTGAAAGCCAATCCCAAACCCATACCTTCCACAGGCCCTAGGCCCTGTCTTTGACCTTAAGCTCTGCAAGATGGTGAAATAACTGCCCAGCTTCTCACCTCTCTTTTGGAGATTGGCAAATCCCTATGCAAAAAGAGGTCCCCACGACTAGTTTCACTTCTCTAAGATTTCTGTGGCTCCCAAGACCTTGGCAAAGTAATCCTTTACTACATCGCTAGCTTGACTGTGCCTTCAAGCAAATTTCTTTTTAAAGGTTTTGTCTTAATAAGATGGCACCAAATACCTAAACTGCCATTGCCAGGAGTCAAATGACTTTTACTGATCCGATGTTAAGATATTTTAACTTGCCAGAATCTTGCATTCTTTCATTCTCTTGGGCTCACATACTCTTGGGAACGTTAGCTTGATATCTGAGTGTGTTGTTGACTTCTTACCTGAAATAAACCTATGGACGATGCAAGGAAGAGGAGGTCCCCTCACACCCAGGGGGCAGCCGGCAAATGGAATTGACGGGCACAGACCCGCTGGCTGTCTCCCTGTTCTGACCCAATCCCAGGTGAATGTCACTCCTGAATTGGATCCTCTCCAAAAAAGGAGGTCGCATCACTGACACCCAGACCTCTCCCGCCTGGGCCAGTAGCTCAGGGACATTAAGTGGTGTCTGAGGCAATGAAGCCCCCTGCCCCTGTCTCTCAACATGCTGGAGCCAACACACACAAACACACAGAGCCTAGAGTTGTTGTGGTGCCCACAGAGCCTGGACACAAGGTTCTGTGTCTCCTGGGCCCCCCACCCCTGGGCCCCCCTCCACTTCTCTCCCATGTGGGGAGCCAGTGAGTTTGCAAACCCAGTTTACACACGCTGGCCCAGAGAAGTTGCAAACCACAAAACAGCACCTCTCCCTGCTCCTCGGTCCTGCTGCCATCTGACTCTCCTTAGTGACCATTTCTATACCTCCTAAAAATCCCACACAAAGTGCCCACAACGCCTCCTGGCTAAGCACGATTCACAGCACGAGATGTGGAGTAGGAACATGGCCTCAAGGATTTGGGGGGGGACAAGAGGCATCCCCACCTTCAGGTGAAATGAACAATCCCGGTGATCCACAAGACATTAGACAGACTTGAGTCCAATGCCTGGCTCTTACTAGTGGAGTGACTTCAATTTCTCCAGCTGTAACTTTCAAATAATTGACTCCACCCCGTGGGGCTGGTGTAAGATGATATGATGGAAATAGTATTTGAGACATAACAGGTGCTCCATACATTTTTTTCCTCCTCATCCATGTCAATCACCTGACACCTGACACACCCTGAATTTTCTGGGAATAGATGAGGCAAGGAAACGTCTTCAGCAAAGCCTTCCTTATCCCTCAAGGATAAGGTCAAGTTCTCCAATTGTTGCTTGGGGACAGCTGGGGAATGGAAAGGGGGTGTGGGAGTGTGCTCTCCTTAAGCCACAAACAAAGTCGACCCTTTCCAGCAGAGGGGTCTTGGGAGCTCTCTGGACTGGGAGCAGGGTGTCTTTGCTGGGGAAGAGAGCCCAACGGGGCGGGCATCTTGCTGGAGCCTAGTGGAAGGAAACACCCTTTGAGATGACCTCATACCTCCTGTTGGTGCAACGAAGCAGCCCATAGGAAGTGGGTGTCCCCCAGGAAGTTGAGAAACTGTGGCACAAGACAAGAGCTGGCTTCCTCTGCCCCATTAGAGCTGGGAGACTCTTCGGAGTCAAAGGCCAGAGAGCATGGAGCTGAGTGAAGCCACCATGGCCCGGGGACTCGCTGTCCTACTAGTCTTGTTCCTGCATGTCAAGGACCTGCCTGCCCAGGCTGCTGACACCTGTCCAGGTGAGAAGAACCCAGGTTTTCTGGTCCCAAAAAGCTGGTAACAACCCCATTCACTGACACTCGGGTGTCCCAGGCAAAACCTTTTATGCACATCTTCCTGCAAAGACGCCCAGCAGATCTGTTCTATCCTCAGGCAAGGACATGGAGGCTCAGGGCAGCCGAGGCATCACCCAGGGTCATGGAGGGATAGGGGAGGGATGTCACTTCAGGTCTGTCTGCCTCAAAAGCCCAGGATTTGCCCCATGGAGCTTCACAGATGGGTCTGGAATCTGTTACTGAGAAGGAAGAAAATACTGTTGACTTTATCTTCTTACGGGCTTACTGGAGAGGCCCTCTAATACGGTGGCTGCCACACTGACTTGGGGAGTTTGTTAAAAAGGCAGATTTCTGGCTCTCCCCCTAAAGAGTCAGAATCAGTCGATAGGGGCAAAGGTTTGGACAGTGATGAGGTGTTTCCCTCGTTGATTCAGGAGCAGGTGGTTCTGTGATGCTCAGCGAGAGACTGCTCCTAAGGACGGCCCGGCCTCCCTGGCTGATCACATATTTATGGAGGAAACATAAATAGTAAATTACAGCCTAGTGGAAGGAGGACAGGAAACACAGAGAGGAAACACCCCAAAGATGGCAGCTGCCGTGTCTCCAGTGAGAGCGCTGCTCTGTTCCACAGTCTCTAAGAGGGCCCTTAGCAGGGCGTGTAGATTTTGTAATGAACAAAATGAAAAATATTTCTTCAAAGAAGTAGACAACCTTGGTTTGGCTCCAGCTGTGCCACACCTGGCTCTGTGTCCTTGGACCCCACACTGC